GCCCCCCAGCAGACTAGCAGACAGCCCGAGCCCAGGAGGAGCTGCTGCCGCCGAGCCCGACGACTCGCGTTGCTGGCTCGCGCGGTCCGGTCGCCACTTCATCGAATTATAATCATTTTATCCGGCCGTCTGTCGCGCGCGGACCTCCTCGTGACCCAGCAGCAAGCAGAGCCGCACGCACTCGCCATGGCAGCCAGCAAAGGTGCGTGCCGTCCCCGGGAAAACGTCCCCAGGACGTGTGTTGTGAGGGAAAACTTGGCACTGGCCCTCGGTTGCTACCCCCCTCGCGCGCCTAATATATTGGACAGATTACTACTCCCATTCGTTTTGCACGTAGCGAGTGAAGTGGCGTGGCCGGTAAACTTTTGGCAGAGTATCGTTTCCCATAACCTTCCTCGGTTGACAGTTTGATAGTGAGAGTTAAGAGGTTAGGGTATCCCCCAGTCACAGCCACCCCTTCATCTTCCAACCCCCTCTGTGTCCCAAGTGTCTGTCATTCTCTCCGAACCTGCCTCTTGATTTCTGAGACATTTTTAGCCTCGTAGATTTCTTTGAGTTTGTTTTGTTGTGTTGTATGTTGTTTTTTCTTCTCATGACTAAACACAGTAGAGTTTATGCTGTTAAATAATTGTGGTCACTTAAATAGCTCTGATTTACTAAAAAAAGATAAGTAGACATTTTGTTATTAAAAACCAATCCCTTCTGCATAATTCTTTGACTTTAGACAATTTAATAAACACATGTTTAGCAATAGCTTAATGTCTTCTGTGTTCATATTTCAGTTCCTCAATCTCCCGAGCCCAAAAAGTTCTCGTAAGTATTTTGGCAATTCAATTGTTTTTTCATCCGTAACATTAAAGAATTCCAATATGTGACTTGTGAATTGTGATATTTGCTAAGCACAACTTCTAAATATCTGATACATGTTTTAATGTATTTTTGTGTAACTGTCAGGATTCTTTCTTCAACAGTGCTTTTGTCAATATAACTTTTTCATTTTCAGACTCCTCCCAAAAATTGTCAATGGTGGAATTGCTGGCATCATTGGTGTATCATGTGTTTTTCCACTGGATCTTGTCAAGACAAGACTTCAAAATCAGACTGTTGGTCCCAAAGGGGAAAAAATGTATTCCTCAATGTAAGAATAACTATTTCCAACATACATTGAGAAAGTGAAGATTATCATAAATATTGCTAATAATTTTGCTCACTACAGGCTTGACTGTTTCAAGAAAACCTATGCTGCAGAGGGCTACTTTGGAATGTACAGAGGTATGTAGAATTAGGTACTTGTCATTACCATAAAAATTCTAAGAAACAGAACTAGAAATTTCAAGTGCCTTTCTTGTTTGTTCATAGGGTCTGCTGTAAACATTTTACTGATCACCCCTGAAAAAGCTATCAAGCTCACTGCCAATGACCTTTTCCGACACTGGTTACGTCCAGCAAATAGGTAAAATTCCTACTTTGAAATGATTCATGTCACAGTCTAATTAGTTTTTAAAAATCATATTTAATACTATTCATACATCTTACAGCACACAGATGCCCCTTGTCCGTGAGATGATCGCTGGAGGTTCTGCTGGGGCCTGTCAAATTGTCATTACTACTCCAATGGAGCTTCTGAAGATCCAAATGCAGGATGCGGGACGAGTAGCTGCTGCTGCTAAGCTTGGTACACCTTTTTTCTCCGAACTTGATGTGCTTCAGAGGAAAGTTTTTCTTTTCAGTTTAAAAGGTGTTCATTTTTATTCTTTTTTTCTTTTTCCCTATAGCTGGTAAAGAAGTGAAACATACATCTGCAATGGAGTTGACAAGAAATTTGTTGAGGGAAAGAGGAATTTTTGGCCTTTACCGTGGTATTGGAGCTACTGGTCTCAGAGATGTCACCTTTTCTGTTATTTATTTCCCACTATTTGCTAGGCTGAATGCTCTTGGGCCAAGGAAAAATGACGGCTCCGGTAAATTTAACACTTGATAATTTAGTGTACTTTTCTACCGGACCTCACACCTTTTCTCACTTTTATATTTTATTTTCTAGGTGAAGCAGTATTTTGGTGCTCGTTCCTTTCTGGGTGTGTAGCAGGTTCATTTGCTGCCTTGGCTGTAAATCCGATGGATGTTGTCAAGACCCGTCTGCAAGCTATCAATCCCACAGAAGGTGCCGCATATAATGGTGTTGTAGATTGCATTACGTAAGTCTAACTACAATCTTTACTCACCTTTACAAGTATGTTTACATGTTTTCCCTCTCTCATGTTTTCTTTTTTGTTCTCTATTTTAGAAAAACCTTGAAGAATGAAGGACCACTAGCTTTCTTCAAAGGAGGAGCTTGCCGAATGATTGTCATAGCCCCATTGTTTGGTATTGCTCAGACAGTCTATTACCTGGGTGTCGCTGAAAATCTCTTAGGAATTAAGTAAATATCTATTGATTCTCTTCTGTGTTAAACGTGGCCAGACAATAATTACCTTGGTTACTTCATAGTCATGTATTTAGCACAGTAATTTTTTTAATGTGAGCTTATTGCACACATTGGGTAAAGTAATCTTGTTAAAGTACAATGGGCAGAATGATTTATTCATACATATTTTTGAAATATTTGCCCTGTAACATTATTTATTTGTTAGATGATCAAAACAGTGTCTACAGTATCTTAGTGTTGAAGGTAGAAATTTACTGCATATCCTTCAAAAATCTTTGCAAGCATCTTGTTTGCTGTTGTTTTTTTTAGTAACAGTGGAATGGATGTATATTTCTGATTTTAAAATACACTTCCATTTCATTTTTGTTTTCCAATTGTATGTACATGTTAGCCATCTCCGTATGGATGCCATATCATGAATTTTCCATCCACGTTTTCATATCATAAATTTTTTTTGTTCGTCTCTATTGTCATCTCTATTTGTGGCTTCCAAATTGTGTCAGTGATCGTATATTGCTATTTATGCCATAACTTTTGAAAGTCAGTACAGTATTGGCTGCCTTGTATTCAAGCTTTTAATGCAGTATTTAAAGCATAAGTCAATGACTTGAAATCACCAAACATTGTGTGTGACATATAATAGTAGTACTGAGTTTATTCAGCTTTTACCTCTGTCTTCATAGTTTTAGTCACCTGAAACCTCAGAAAAAAACGAGGGAAGACTGAGTTCTGTTATTAGTTAATTTATCAATTTATAGTCAATTAGACGTTTATCAGACAAACAAACATGCTCTCATACTCTACATGAAGACTTCTTTCTGTCCTTCAGATTGTGTTGCATGACACTAGTGTTACTTTTATTGTGTTCTATTCGGTACTCATCTTTGCCTTTACTAATACTTCTAGCAGTTCTTTAAAGCCCTCTATAAAAGCTTTTAATATTTTTTTGCTTTTTGTATTTTGTTCTAGAAATACTTATGTACAGCTATGACCTACATATGTATGTAATCCATTCCGCCTTTGATGTTCTTTTTGCAATTTGTCTTAATTGGTCATTCCGATGTTTGTATTATTTTAACTTTTTTTAGAATTTTCATGTATTTACCACCTCGTTTTCAATTACTACAATAACTGACGGCAGGTACAGAACAAGTTGCTTTCCGAAGATTAGGAATTTTCTCAGAAGAACCACATAAGAACTATGGAATAATATGACATGAATTGACTGTGAAACTGCTTTGCGAAAGTAACTTGTCCCATTGAAGGAGTTATCTTGTCTGATTGGTATATCCTTGAAAACTTTCATTTGTGCTGTTACTTGTAAAAACTATTTATTTTTGTGTGTGGGTTGTCAGTAAATTGTATTGTAAACTCTTTAAGTTTGTGGTGGAGTAGGACACCTAGATATTCAGCCTGTCAAGAGTTGGGAATGGTAAAAATTGCTCTTTGGAAATTCTATGTGTTACTTTGTGAGCTGGCAAATTTTCTTTTATTGGGGCAGTACATCTATGTCTTAGCAGTATTAGGGTGCCTATGACAATGAATGCTTTGTAGAGTGTTAGTGGTGCATATTGGAATCTAATACTCTCTAATCATTTTGCATTATTAATATTTTTATTATCTTTTAAGTCTTTTAGGTTGTTTGAAATGAGTTTTACATTCCGTTACCTCACTATGCCAATGCTTCTCTTGTCTAGTTTGTTGAAATGAGTCAGGGAAGGCATGGTATCTTGTTACTATCTTGCAAATAACTAAAGCCAGTATTTAACTAATGGTTTTTCACCATTCTAGTCATTGACTATAAATGTTGTACTGTGCCTTACAAATATTTAGTTATATTGCTTGATGCAATAATTATTTTATAAAACTGCTTGTTTTTTTACTCATTGTGATTCTGTGCTCCCTGATTTTGAATGTCTTATTACCCGAGACTCATTTATAAATGAAGAAGGCACTGTTTGATTTGGATGTTTATTTGTGGCTGTGTTTTTGTCATCCACGACATTGTTTCTTTCTATTGAAGGAAAGACTTAGTAGGTTCATTGTTTGGAGTAATTAAATTGTTCTGTTGTTGGCATTTATTTGTTTTGTCATGACATTTTATTTACTCTGTTTATCTTAATGGAAATGCATTGCTGAGGACAGATGTTATAATGAAGCATACAGATAAATGTGAAATTTGCACAAAACCATGATCTGTATCATGTAATGTTCAGAAAGCACAATTTCTTCTGTTATTAATTTGGCTTATGCATGCACTTTAGTCTGGCCAATCAAAGAATGCTTCTAGGCTTCACATAGCCGTTCATAAGAACCTATGCTAAGCCAGAAGCATTCTTTTAGCTGGTTCAAGTACATTTCATATTGGAAATACTCCCAGTGATACTTTTCTGGAACTTTGTCATACTCATGCAAAAACCCTTTTCCATTTCTTCTTCACAGTTCTAACGAGTAAGCCTACGCAATTCACATGTCAAAACGTTTAACATTTGTGTATCTAAACTCTGGACTCCACATGGATGTTTTGTAGTTTTGTGTGCTTTTGACAATAAAAAATGTAGATGGAACAATATATATGAAAAAAGTTGTTACAATTGACTAGTAAAACTCCTCTATCTTCTCTGGATAATTTTAATCATCCTTAAGAGGAAAAAGGAAACTATTTGTTCTTTCACAGGCACAGTCAAACAATTTGAGCAAAATCAACAGTCTTTAGGTCAGTACAAAAATATTGTGCAACACAATTTCTGATAAGAGAAAATCTCTCTGCAACGACTCTTTGGGCAAGTAATGCTGCCGAATAGTCACTGCAAACCAGTTGCCCTCATGACTAGTGGCTGAATCCCGATAGAAGCGCGACGGTGACCGCCCACGCGAGCAACGAGGCCCACACGGAGGCCACGGGCGTGGCGTCGCTGGTCTTGGTCGTGCTCTCGTGGTCGTCCGGCGTGCTCGGCTGCGGCCGGTCGTCCAGCACCACGTTCTCCTTGATCCAGGGCAGCAGGAAGGACACGTCCGAGTAGACCCCGGGCCGGCCGGGCTGGGCGCAGCCCGCGCCCCAGGACACGATGCCCGCCAGGAGGCGCTTGTTCGTGCAGACCAGCGGGCCGCCCGAGTCGCCCTGCAGGTGCACAACCCCCAAATATCAGGAAAAAAATCAGAAAACATAATGGAAAATTCAATTTAAAAAGTCAATAAAATTGGAAAAGATTAC